TTATTCACTAGAGGAATATTTTAATATAATACAATAATATACTTTATAATTTTATTCTGATTTTATATTCATAATGTTTATATTTTTGATACTATTATATTTATATCTTGATTTTAGCATACTGTGCAGAAATGTGATAAATCCATTATATGTTTATTCTTATTTTATTGTACCTATTTTATTGTTGACAAAGCTCTGTATAGGAACTGTTTTTTCTTTTATAATTATCTTTGACATGTTCTACATCCTGTGGAATGTTTGTCAATAACGATTTATGGAACAAATAAATAAATTAATGAATGAATGAATGAATGTATGTAGGAACTACTGTTAGTTCATCGGAACTCTAGCCGTGGTAGAGGGGTCATACCATCTCTTGCGGAGCTGGGGAAGCAGTCTTATCAGCTTACATCAGCATGGGTACTACCAGTTTGGAATGTAGCGTCTTGGAGTGCGGTCAGGTGTATAGTATGTTGTGTAACTACTCCTGGTCTCCGTAGGCATTGTTTTCCACTCAGGGAGTAGCTCTGAACATCATCATAGCAAGCATACAGCTTCACGTGCTCCACAACGGGTTTACCTTTCCGCGTGGCTAAAGTTACGAGGCACTAACTATACGCTACCATCAACACAACAAATATTTCAGTATTACATTTAGATTTCTATTTACTGCAACATGTTTTGGTCATACATGACCATCATCAGGCAGGAATACGTATAGTTATTGAAATACCAATACAACAGGATGCAACCAATGAAAATAATCATAACTTTGTTAAATGGAAACAAAAAAAAATTGGTACTTGTTAAGAATGCTATTCCACTTCAAATTATGAACATTTTTCAACTGTCCTTGAATTCAGATGCTTGTAGTGCTATTTATTTTCAGTATTGTCCCGTTCATTTTCTGCACTGGTCCCAGGTGAAACATCATCTGTCACTTGGAATAATGCAAGGAAAGTGTGTGCGGTAAATATAGATTCTCCCTTCACAATGCCTGTATGCTTAAAGTGGTTGAATGTACAGAACAAAATTGCAGGGGAAAAGCTTCATGTGTGTGAAACATCCCTGAGAGGATGGAGACAAAGAATCTTCTCCTGTAAACAAACATGTTGAGATGATAATTCTGAAGCCAAAACATGGAAATTTCTGTCCCATCAAAAGATTTGTAATTATATATGTGAAACATGGATGTAATAAAGACTACAATCTTCTGGATTGTAATGCCTCACAGTCTGAAGAAAGCTCAACATTTTAGAGAAACATACTATATCAGTCTTCAGGTTCAAAGAGCAAGAAACCAGCAGAATTAGGCAGTGAGCAATGAGCCACTTTGTTTGTATTAGCACCCAAACATTTTCAAAGTTGTAACATGCATAAAATAGTGGCTGTAGTCCTCCAGAAGGGACAGTCTGAGTCAAACTGTCAAGTATCATGGGCATATGTGACCAGTGCAGTGAGAAACAGACATACAATAATGTCTGTTAAGTACCCTGTTACTGTTTACATTGTTTATGAAACTTATTACAATGTAAGTTATACAGAATCTATTAATCCAATATTCACATAATTACAAGCATTAGAGAAATGACATTTAATTATTCATAATATACAAAATATGTATATCCATTTATTTCAATATATGTGGAATGTAAGGAGTCTGCAATAGAATTAGCTAAGTATAAGTTACACCTGTCCCATGTAGAGGCGGGTTACAATACCTCCACTGTAGCACTGCAATTTGTAGATGACAAAAAGGCAATCCAGTGCCTGGGATTATAACTGGGCCACCCTGTCACTGGGAAACAAAAATACAGTTACCTGGTCCTCAGGTTGGGAGTTGGATGCAAGGCTGATGACCTTCCTTGATAAAAAAATTACTGCTGCATATTCCAAGGCAGTAAAAACTGGATAGTCTTAATTCAAAACAACCTGAAAATAGGCACATTGAATGTCTTGACCATTGTACAGACCCAGAGCACATAAAATGTTATTTGATCAACTAAAAATACAGTGATGTTAAAGCTCTGGGTGAAAAAACTGAAACCTAGCCAGGAATAGATAAATCTGGCAGAATCTTCTATGGCCCAAAAAGAGTTGTTTTGTCAATAATTGTGATAAGGTGGATTTAGTGGGAGTATAGACATCACATGGGACAGGGGCAGCCCTGACTCATAAGGATGACTGCACATTTTTCAATGGAAATGGGAATGAGAATTATGAATTCGTACATAAGGGAAACTTAAGACATGAAATCAGCAGGCATTTCAGGAATAAAAATAGGGAATATCTGAAAGACAAAATCGATGAGCTTGCAATGAACAGTAAGAACAAGAACATTAGAGACCTGTATAGAGGAATAAATGACTTTAAATGGGGTTACCAGCCTAGCAGTAACTTAGTGAAGGATGAGAATGGTGATCTGTTTGCAGACTGTCATTCTTTTGAATGTTGTATAGTTTATCATTGTTTGGAACAGTTATTACCTAACCCATCATGTCACCACTTATAATCTTGATCTCAGTTTTTTCTTGTCAACTACTATTTCACCATACATCATTACACTGTCCTCTTCTTGCATCTTCTCTGCTGGCACTGAATTAAACTCCTGACTGACAGCATGAACTGTGTGTGCTATGTCTGTTTCTCTCTGCACTGATCGCACACATTCTTGCTACCTGACAGTGTGACTCAGGCTGTCCTGTCTGGGGGTCTGCATCCACTATTTTATACAGGCTTATCACCAAAATGCAGGGCAAAATCATGACATAAAGATAAGAAACAGATGTTTTGAAAATGTGGCACAGTTCAGATATTTGGGAACAACGATAACAGATCGAAACCTGATTCAGGAGGAAATTAAGAGGCGATTGAACTCGGGTAATGCTTGGTATCATTCAGTCCAGAACCTTTTGTCTTCTTGTCTGTTGTCCAAAAACATAAAAATTAGAATATACAAAACTATAATTTTGCCTGTGGTTCTGTATGGGTGTGAAACTTGGTCTCTGACATTAAGGGAGGAACATAGACTGAGGGTGTTTGAGAACAGGATGTTGAGGAGAATATTTGGACCGAAGAGAGATGAAGTGACAGGAGGTTGGAGAAAACTGCATAATGAGGAGCTTCATAACTTGTACTCTTCTCCAAGTATAATTAGAATTATCAAGTCAAGGAGGATGAAATGGGCAGGTCATGTAGCAAGAATAGGGGAGACAAGGAATGTATAGGATATTGGTGGGAAAGTCAGAAGGAAAGAGACCACAGGGAAGACCAGGGCGTAGGTAGGTGGACAATATTAGAATGGATCTTAAGAGAGATAGGATGGGATGGTATGGATTTGATAAATCTGGCTCAGGACAGGGACCAATGGAGGGCTCTTGTGAACATGGTAATGAACCTTCGGGTTCAATAAAATGCTGGGAAATTCTTGAGTAGCTGCAGAATTAGGGGCTCCTCCAGAAGGGCTCAGCACCATGAGTAACTAAGTAAGTAGAACTTCAAGAATATTTGGTTGCTAATATAAAAGAGGTGGCCCACTACTTTCCCAGAAAAGTCCAGAACAGGCGTGGGAGGGAGACTCTCGTGTTATGAGAAGGAAATACTGTCACTAGACTTTAATGATCTTGACATGACTTCACCATACACCACTGCACACTGTCCTCTTCTTTTGTCTTGCAATGAACCAACTTATGATTCATTGTGTGCATCAGTGCAGGTCTACTTCAATATATGGCTACGCTATGTCCACAATCAAGTAGGACAGGTCTACTTCAATATATGGCTACGCTATGTCCACAATCAAGTAGGACTGAACTCAGACATCAGTGTACCAATGATGACATGAATTAGGCCTCTACTTCTGGTAAATCAAGTTATTTGTGCCATATCTTTATATTTAACTGTCTACATTTCTATTTGAAATTCCTCAGTTTGTCATTAGACCACATATTCAGCAATCTTTATCACTGTGTCAACATCCAATACTTCTTACAGTTCACTGTGTGGACGGACAATAAATGAGAATTAAGATTATTCTGGAAACAAGTGACATGTTTTAAGAAGAAATAAACCATGGAATTCTTCAGCATTCCTCCACATTTCCCTCAGAATGTCTTAGATCTAACTCTCACTTCCTGCAGTTTTGTTTACAATGGCACAACTTCATGGTCTATTGAGTAAGGTGCAGTGTGAAGGAAATATACCCCTTTTTCAACGTTTCATATACAAGAATAGATAGATTTGCATGTGGATCACATCTGTATTTTCAGATTGAAAACTTGAATAAAAGGTGAAACCTGTACATGCATTAATACAGTAAGGCAACCATATTAACAATCAAATTAAGTAACATAAGTTGCTATTGGATTTTTTGCTATTTCAAACCTGCCTGGATACAAAAAACATATGTACAATAAATTTGATTTGTTTCATTCTGGTCTGTCAAACTAACAATATTATAAAAGGATAAAACAGTTCTGTCCAGTGTGACTGGTGACACCAGTACAATAATTATGAAGTGAAAAAGAGGCAAATTAATAATAATGAAGAAATGCTATCATTATCATGATTTGTATGCTGTGACTTTGTAGCAACTGCTGCAACTGAAATGCAGATAGCTCTGATCATAATGTTCTTACTAGCACTTTGACATCAATTTCAATATCAACAGCTTAAATCAAATACCTATATTATATTGACAGAAGGGGAAAAATAGGATGGTATCTTCATATCACTAGTCACCTTAAGTGATGCAAAACTGATGTGTGTCATGAGCGCCAAACATTACCACCAAGCAGTGTAGTCCAGTCAGCAGACTTCCATGAAGATGCATCTATGGAACTCTCACTGAGGATATCAGAGTTTTTCCTAGAGATAGGCAGGGATGTTGCATCCATTCCTACCTCTGGGTTTGGAATCAGAAGGGTCTTCACAGATGGAAGTTCAGCTGAAGCTGAGTTAACAAGTGGTAAAACATTTTGCCTCAAACTTTCTTTTGATGCAATATCTACAGGGACAAATTTTGAATCAGTGTCTTCCAGCTGCTGGCACGCAGTTGGCAATGAAAAATTTGTCCAGAATGCTATATTAGGCACACTCTGGCTGGAAAAGGAAACACATTCTGGTATCCCAGGTTTATGCTGAAGCTCATTAAATAGTGATGATTCTCTTCTCCTGGTTCTGAATCTAATCCTGTCAAGAAACTTATTCTGCCATGAATGACTTCTGTCATGACCAAAATTCTTCTCAATGTGCTCATCTGTAATAAGGGGAGCACTGACAGAGTGCTTTAAAATTACTTCATGCCCTAGTGCTTCAGGATTGGGCGATGCTGAGATCTGCTGAATTCTCTTCTTACATAGGTCACAGTACAAAGGTTCATCAGGTTTGGTTTTCAAAACTGGAAAATCATGGTCTGCGAATTTCACATCTGGGATATCTAAACTGTTATATCTGTTATGTATGGGGTATTTGTATTTACCATCATAGGCACTGGAATACAGTTTTTCCATTTCTAATTCATGATTATAAAGATATTTACTATCTGAAGAGTCAGTCATAGGTTTCCAGCGGACACCTTTCTTTGCTCTTGAACTGCTACCAGAGCTTGCCAAAGAACTATTTCTCTTGACAGGTATCAACTTAGGCAAACTCTTAAATTTTCCAATTAGAGCCCTTCTGCAACTAGGACTAAGCTTAGGTTCTGTAAGACTAGAAATTGAGGAACTGACTGGCCTCACATTCAGCAAGTCACCACCAGAAAAGGAATGATGTTTTTGCTGTTCATATGTTAGAGGTGAATACTGTTGTGGTTGTGACTGTGGCAAAGGTGTATCTATTCCTGGCTGAGATACATCCACATCTATGGATATTTCTGACATCTGTAAGCTGTCTGACTTGCAGAGAGTAGATGAGCTGGACCATTGTGTCAGGATCAATGAAGGTCTCCTCCCTGGTGCACTTTCAGACCGTGCTAATGGCTTTGATCCTTTTGAATGATACTCCTTTGGTGGTCCAGAATTCATACTAGAATATCAGAATGATTTAAATTAAAAAAAAAACGGTTTATGATTATGATTAAAGTAAGTTACATTCTTATATTAAATTTCTATAGCGGTATTTTCTGCTGGACACTGTACATTGTCTGAATAAAAAAAAAACATACAGATTTCCTCATACAAAGGCTACAGCCTTATTAATGCCTAGTCTGGCATTGGCTGCCATGTGCATGGATACACAGCAATGACAGTGCCGCTCAAATACTGAATGATAATGTCTGCATTTGAAAATGGCAACCATAAAAATCTACTCTCTGTAACATTACACCAGTTATTAAAGTAGGTACGGTACAACATTCAAATACACTTCTTAACAATGTCAATATCCTGCAGCAGAAGCTGGTTTAGTTTGGTTTCTATGATAATCTCAAGGTTTCTGGTCAAAAGTCTGCAAATTAGTATAATTTGTTTCCATAGACCCTTCTGATGTTATATAATCTGTGACACTGAGGAGCTGTCAAGACATAAAGACCCAAAGAATATAAACTTCTACAGGTTTCCTGACAAATGGAAAGCAAAAATGTTTATACCGTATTACTTCGAATATGAGACACCCTTGAATTTAAGATGTATCCAATTATTAAATGACAGTTTAGGAAGAAATCAGAAGGGTGTAATTATTTCAACGAGTTCATTTAGAACATAGCAATTAAAACAACAAAATATTTGAACACATTTCAAGATAAAAGTAATGGAAAATATACCAGAATGAAATGGAAATTTAAAATTTTCACTACATGCAAATTCTTTACTATCTTTTTCATTTAATCAGAAAGTTCATCCAATGATCCTTCAACCACACTCTCATTCTCTAAAGATGATACACCCTCACCACTTAGTTCACTGTCATCCCAAAGAATGTCACCGTGTGTTCTGTCTTCCGCATTAGACAAACAGCACTTTAAAAATGATTTTGTAATAATAATGACTGGAACTTCTTTCCAAGCTTTTCCAGTCCACTATTACTGACACTGATGCCCTTTCTATTTTTATGCTAGGTGTCAATATATGATTGTCTTTATTCAGCCAGGCATCATAGTGTTTACCGACAAGATGCCTGAATGGTTTGTTAACTGACACATCAAATGATTGTAATAGACATGTCATGCCACTAAGAATTATCATTAAATCGTTGTTTTTGTTCCTTACCCTATTTCTGCTTCTATCAGAGAGATGGTCACAAAATGCATTCACTGCAAGCGTACTCTGTAGCTTTGATAATGCACAAGGCTGATCTTCCCATACACATCCAAGGCAGTTTCCCATTAACTCCATGGTAATTCATGTATTTTTGAGGGACTGAACTATTACTACATCTTTGCAAAATTTTCCTTTGGCACTGTCTTCCTGTTTAATATTATGCATGGTGGTAATGTATTGTCATTTGAAGTTATATATAGCATGACAGTAACTGTAACTTCTCGTAGCCTGTGGTTTTCATTGCCACTTGCTCTTCCCCTTCAAAATTTAAGGTACAACTGCGAGGCATGCAAAAAAAAATACTGCAGTTTCATCTGCATTGTCAATTTGACTTAAAGCATACTTATTCCTTCAGTGTGGTCCAAAAACAAAATACTGAAATTCAATCAGTTGAGTTTCAAATTGCAAAGGAAGTTTTTGACTAATTTTCATCCTTCATCATAATGATAATTTCCTCTCTCCATAAAGTTTCCACGCCATCCACAACTACCCTTGAAAGGTAAATTACTGTTTCTAGCACATTCTTTTGCTTTAGGCATTAAGACTTCGCTAGTTATAGGTAAGCCCTTATTTTGTAAATCTTTGAAATACTCAGAAACAAAGGCACCAGTCTCAGGATTTCTCCCCTTCCTTGGTCCAGGAAAAGACTTTCTATTTGTCATATATGAAAACAGTTCTGTTTCTAAACTTCCCCAATGATGTACACATGCCTCTTGTGAATGTGGCATCATATGTAAAATGTTTTTCCAACAGGCAAAAAGTAATAGAAAACTGAACACACCTAAACGATAAGAACATAAGGTTGTTGACTCACAGTTAAAGGTGGGGGGGGGATGGTGTGGTTTGATGTCTCACTCCAAATGTGTTTACAATAGGTTCTTTCCAGGCTACCCTGTGGTCAGTTTACAAATGGGTGAATAGTTCCTTGAATTTAAGAAGCACCTCAATTTCCCAACAAGAAAAAATGTGCATCTCATATCTGAAGTAATACAAATATAACTACTATCCACTAGTGACTATTCATTTGTGAAACAATGTCCACAGACGCTTTGTTGAACTCTTCTGCATTACATACTGCTGGAAATAAGTAATTTTTTTTCCAACTTGTTGACAAACAGGAAATTCAAAATATTGTTCACACATTGATTCAAGGGTTCCTTTTCTTCTTCTTCTTCTTCTTCTTCTTTTGAGCATATGCCTTGGATGATGCCAGTTTCTGTGAGCTGTCGTTGGTTTTCAGGCTGCACCAGAGAGTGTTTCCTTCTTGTTTGACCATCAAGCATACAGCATGTGATATCTACTAAGCTACAGTGCAATAGTGCAGGAAAGAAGACCACAGCCTTTGTAATAAACCCTTCTGTCATCCTCTGACATCAAAAATGATAATTTTAAACCTTAAAAACACAAAAATGTTATCCTATACAAGTATGTAAAACTAAATGAAAGTAGCAGGGCCCACACATTTTGTAGAGACAGGTAAAGTAGACAGGAGAAGAGCATTAATAACCCAAATTACTAGGGGAACAAGCTCAACATATTCTGACAAATGTACAATAGTGAGATTTAATATAAAGGAACCCCTCCATATTTTATGTCAATCAAATGGGGATGAATCTAATCCAGGTTGCTCAATTTTTTTGATAATCACATGATGTTGTAAATGGATTAACAAGATGTAAATATATGGCTATCTTCTTCTGACACTGTACATAAATGTATTGAGAAATACTATGGTAAATTAGAATTAGCATACCTGCAACAGTATATTCATGATAATTTGGAAAAACAAAGAATTACATTAGGATAATCGATGCTCAATTTTGTTGCCACCTGCAAGATTCTTTCATTATCAGTGCTTCATTTCACACACAATAGAAGTCTAATGTAACCAGTACAGCTTGTTTAAAAACAAATTCTTATGCACCACTAATTTAATGTTTAGCAGAAAAATATTCTTCAGTTTTAAACAGAGTACTTTCAAGAATTTATGCTGCCCCAAGTGCTTTTTTAGCTTAATCGGTAATTTATCTATTATGTCAAAATTCACACTGATGTTCCGCGATCGGTCCGCCATGTTTAAAAGCGAAAAAAGTATTAATGCATGCACGGTCTGCAAAGTGTTAAAAGGTCCGTTTTTTAAGCTTTTTGTTCAAAATGCACAAAATGTAACGTACTAAAATTCACATACCTCGGTTCTAATACTGTGAATTCAGCAGGTTGTGCCAGACCCTCTTCCAAATGGCAGACAGATATGTGGTCAACCTCCAGGTTCTCAGGATACTTGAAGATGTTTTTACTAGATTGGGGTTGATTCCTGTCAACAATGAGATAAAATGCTATGTTTACTTATGTTACTATGTTCACTTATATCATTCACTGCTGTTTTTACTTTCAGAAGTACACTACCACAATAAATGGAATATTAAATAAAATAAAGACAACTAAAAAGGAGAATGAAGGATTGTCTGCTAATTCAAGTGCTCTAAATGGATAGCATACTTGGTTATTATGGTCAGAAGTGTAATGGAAGGCAGAAGAGACAACCTTACCTGAGACTGTTCATGTACAGGACTGGCAAGTGATAGACCTAGAAAAGAGAGAGTATCTTACATGCACAGGGTATAAGGGCTGAAGTGTATATTGGGTCGGGTGGAAGGATGGGAGAGGTAACGGTGGACAATCTTACCGCCAGATACCTGCAGCTGCTGCAGCAGTAGAGCCAAATGTAGCAGCCTTAAGATTCTGTACTGAACCTCCAGGTGTCATTCGTTCCTCGTCTTCTTCCATTATCTCTGGTAGGTACATAGCATACTTCTCTTCTGGAACTCTGTGAAACAACAACACAATAAGTTAATCCTCTCTAGACACTTGGTGTTCATGTCATGAATATCTGCCTTTGGAAGGCATGCATTAGCCTGCAAAACTTTCACATATCAGTATGCAAATTTTGAGAAACTGAAATATATATTGAATTTTTACTTCTGATGGAAACATTGATGGTCCCAAACAAAAACATTTTTGCTAGCCTTTTCTAGCCATAACCTTTTGGCCCTGAAGTTTAAACTGGCAAGAAAAATGGTAAAGCAAACATCTGGTTATTCGGAATCCAGGCATCCAAAATTCTCCTGCAACTGGCAAATACTTCAAAAAACTGTGATGCACAAATGTTCACCACCAGATAGTAGTCCTCCCAGGGATCACTAGCAGCACTCCTCATCTTCCCACAGCCAGATACCCTTAAAGCCATTGTGATGCATGATTACAACAGGGGCAATTGAATTTGTGGTTGTGATATAGTTTATCCAAAATCTTTGACCCATCAATCTGCTGTGTCTTAGAGCAAAAATGTGTTGCTTTGACTTTGAAACAGAAAATAAAAGTAATAAAAGATTGGAAAATGTTGAAGACTGTGTGAAAATTGGGTTCTGTAAGAGTTCTCATCATGCAACCATCAGATTCATGTAACTACGGCATTCTATTTCTCACACATACTGTATAACAGAGAGTTTGCTGTACAAAAGTCTGTCTCTCAATATTTGAAATCAAGTATGTTGCATATACTGTTTCAGTCATGAAAGAGTGTGCGCACATGCATGTGGGTATTCACAGATCCTTGTACTAAGAATTCCAAAATTTGGAACTTTTAGTTAATACCAAGAGTTCTTTGGGCAAGCTTATTATACATCCAGAGAGTTCTCAGAACATCGTGTCGGCAGACACTGTGGGATCCCCTGGAAAACTGAAGGTCATTCATTCAGTGATCTCCTGATCAGTGAGTCAGTCAGTGTTACACCATTGAGTGTTATAGAAGCTTCTTTCTATTTTGCTCTGTTCTGTGTGACATACAATTTAGAACAAAGAGTTTTCATTTATAACTCTTATGTGAAAAGAAAACTCATGTAAATCTTGCAGGAGAAAATTGTGCCAAATATTTCACAACACAACATGTCAATCTGGAGATATAATTTCCAAATTAGTGAAGAAAGTTTGAACCAATGGTACTTAAATTGACAGAAACCCGTTAAAAAGAAATAGTGTTTTAAGTGAGGAAAAACTCGATGACATCGATCACTGATTAGAAAATTCTCCTCAAAAATCTTTGCGGCAATTAGCACTATCTCAGTATTACATGGTGTGTTTTGAGAATTAATGGGGAGGATAGAGTTATTAGTAAGGGTTTGTTGGCCCCCTAGATCTCCAGATCTAAACCCCTGTCATTTTTATTTGTGGACAAAACTTAGGTGTTGTGTATGCCAACAATCCACTGACCTTGAGGCTCTAAAACGATATTCGTGAAGCAATTTAAAACATTCTGCAAAGTGAATTGCAACAAGTTTCCTGAATTCTGTTTAAAAGAATTCAGGCATGTCTCATAGCAGAGGGCAGATATTGTGAGCATCTTCTACGATGGTGAGTACAATATTAATTACTGTATTTGATTAATAATCAACAAAAGAAGTAAACAATGTGTGGTAGCTGTACAAGCTGTGCGGCAGCATTTTTCTTGGGAAGTGGTCCATCGCTTTCACAGGAAGCTGCCGATGATAAAATCAATGTCAAGTCAGCCTGTGCTCGGAACACAATGTAGTTATTCAAATGCTATATAAACTCCCTGCTGTTATGGAACCTTCAGCCAGATTACCATGCCCACAGAAGTCCATCCCACTAGATTTTGAGTAAGTTCAATTTACTTCATACTCTCAAAACCAGTCTCTCCATTCTGAAGACTGGAAATATGACTAACAACTTTTATTCTCTCCCATGCACACGCATGCACGCCCAATCCCCCCCTGCCCCCCAATCCTCTTTGTATGTCATGAAAATAACTGCAAAAAAAATTTCAATCTCGGTAATCTCTGAAAATCAACTCATCAGGTATGATACTGGCTTATGACAAAATCTGATTTCATACACTGTTAAAACTGATGAATATTTAGCAAAATACAAGGAAACAATTTATAATCTTTTTCAGCATTACAGACTTTTAGCAGTGCATGTTGTATCTGCAAAAAATGAACATTCAGGCTACAAAATATTTCAAGGAATGTGTCTGGAATGTCTACTGTACACTGGAATACACTTCCCATTTTTGTTGTTAATGTTTGGTGTAGGCTATGGAATGATAGTTACAATAAGTCTAACAAGACTGGAAAGTCTACCCGAAGTCTACACATTTAATAAATGCTGTTTTTATGATTTTGTACAACTCACTGGCCTGTTTATAGAACACACAAACCTGTGTTTTAAAATTGAACAGCATGTCTGTTATGGCATACAGACAAATTACTTTTCCACTGTATTTTATAAAATATACATATCAAAGGAAACTGTGTCTGTTAATGAGATCTACATTTACTTCAAATACCAATTTTTGACACCGTGAACCATTTTTGAACAAATTTAAAAATGCTGATAAAGTAAAGCAGGAGCTATGTTTGACAGATACATCAAACAGTTAAATCACACATGAGAATCTTTGTGTAGGCTCATAACACCAAATTTTATCTAAATGCAATCTGTATCCAATTTATGCATTTCAATCAAATAACACATTGCTAACTGCAACTCTGCTCTATGAATGGACATAAGTAAATGCTGAGATACTTGCTGCATATCATGTACAGAGCCACGGTATGTCTTCTTCTTGTAAGCAACAGATGCCTCAGTGTATGGCAGCTTCAGATTAACATCATCAAAATATTTATCCTTCACAAGTGGAGGTGAACGTGCCATAAGGGTGTCTACTCCTAGGTATGATACCTGAAAAATATAACAGGATGATCTTCATAAACCAAAGTTCTAGACTCATTTTCACTCCTATGGCTTCTGTGGGCTGAACTACTGGCTCACTTGCAAAAACATTCATCAATTCCATTATAATCTTTCTATCAGCTTGTAAGCATTATTCCTATTAGCACTGTTCTGTGGATATATGTTCTGCAGCAACTTTTAGATTTTGGAGAGAACATAGGTGGGGCTACAGTTCTATTCTATGAAAAAGCTGACTGTCACTCACAGAGATGGGAGTCAAGCAAGGGTGTCAAAGAGTAGCACTTTTAATAATTGGAAGTGGAACATCCATTTATAGGACCTGAACTGACATACAGCATCTCAGCAGGGGTTGCCAAGAAGACTGCCAGGGCCTGAGCGAACAGAGACCATAAAAAACACTTAAGTCCACAGCAGGACTCAGATGTGTGAAGGGTGTCCTTCAAGAACCTCTGCAAAAAAGATGCATGAGCTGTTAGAACTAAATAGTAACCAGCTGAGATGGGTGACAGAACTACTTACAGGGCATTGTCACCTTAAAAGACATCTTTGTCAAATAGGGACTAACCAACAGCCTCAATTGTGAGCAGTGCCTGAACAAAGACAAATCAGCCTCACATACCCCATGTGACTGTGAGGCCTTGGCTCATTCAAGATTTTGTCACTTGCAACATCATTTTGTAGAATTAGACGACTACTTAATCACCCCATTAAATAAAGTTATTTGAAACATGGGACTGCGAGCAGGCTAACTAGAAGAGAACATATCAGATGGTTAGGTATAGCAGTAATGCTTCTGACTCATATTTGTGAGGTGCTCAGTTCGAATCTCAGCTATCCTGATTGAGGTTTTTATGATTTTCCTCAGTTTCTCCAGGCAAATGCTGGAAGAGTACCTCAATTAGGTCACAAGCGCTTCCTTCCAAATTCTTTCCAAATTATCATTAATCTACAACCCATCCATTTAACACTAGTTAAATAGTAGTATAGTATATACTATATATAGGCTAGTATATTGTCTAGCTACCGAATGTATCGTTAAATAATCCACAAATACATAAAATAGATGGGGACACACAACAGACCCTAGATGATCAAAGTGTAAGGGCCTGTTTGCACCATTCCTCATTCATTCATTCATTCATTCATTCATTCATTCATTCATTCATTCATTCATTCATTCAAGATTAACTATGGCAAAAGACTGAATATTCTTCATGGGTACAATGTCTGGAGAGTGAAGGTGACCAGTAACCTGCACTTAGAGACAAGGTTAAGAATGTATAACGCTTTACCTCTACGCCACATGTTCAATTATGACATGAAACTCAGGCACAAGAACAACTTCTTTGTATAAGACTATAAACAGCAAAGCACAGCCCTACAATGACATACAGAGCAATCAATTCATTAATTTAACACATTATTTTGGAACATACAACTGAACATATTTCCTGGCTAATGTTCTGGTAACTATGCAAGCAGTCATATGTGAGTCACTCGTAGTTTGGAAAAGTGGTAAAATACTTGCGCCGAATGCATTCTGCATTCTGTATTACATTAAGCCAATGGGAAATAAATAAATAAATTGGAAATAAAGAAAAGATTATTAATTTTAATCATGAAGCATGTGGAACCAAGACCAGCAGACTAGTGGAAAGAGCAGGGAGGAAAACTTAACTACTGCTCATATAGTACCATGCAAGTGTAATCAATTATGACATGCTGCATTTTAAAGTGCTATGCAATCTTGTTCTAAACACATGTTTGTATTAAAATACTGCTCCTGCACAAAAATGAACTTAAGTTTTGTAATCTGTGATAATTATAGTTTGCATCATATCAGCATAGTACATAAGCCAACCTTTGTATGACGATCTATAAGCCAGTTGAGTTCGAAGTCTTCATCATCATCTCCAAATGGGTTTATCAATTGCTCTGCCACCTATCCCACAGAAAAAGAGTAATTTACAGACCACGTACTTTTTAAAGCAGCACATCAAACGATAAGACCAGTAAATGCTACCGAATGCTTTTATACCATGAACAGTCCCAGTCTTTCTTATGATTTATTTTGTCTAGTTACAATTTATGCAGATTACTCATTAACATCTCCCAATTACATACAGCCTGAACTGTTTTGGTTTGGCAACTGCAGAACTTCTAGAGCAAAGCAAGTAGTAGAATAATTACCAATGACGAAAACACATACAAATATGCAGCAGAATGGGAAGCATGTTACTTTTTGTGATAGAAAGGGAAGGGCATTATCATTTAAAGTTTTCCAACATAATGTATTGTCAATATATCAGAATTTCACGCAAATTCAAATTAAAGAAGTCCACTCTTATATAAATCTCCATTATTCCCAAATGTTAATGCAACTTTTATATTTTTGTGTATTACATAAAAAAGTCATAATGCATTCCTGTGACTGACAGAAATAAGCCATGCAAGTACCAGTATCTCAGATAGGTTTCACAATCGCAATTCAGCAAAACAGAGTCTAAAACATAATACTTTAATTGTTATATGTACACAGGTGGCTTGAATGACACCTAAGGTTGACAGTTTCATTAATAATTTCACACTATTTCATAAAACAGAGAAAGACAGCCATAACCTCATGTGTCTTGCCCTCATATTGCAAGTAACTTACAAGCTACACATATAACCTTTATGTGAGTGAGATGTTGTATAATGCAGAATTCTTAAAATTATTTGGTGCTAAAATCATGGAAAGTGAGGTGTTCAGTCTGAACTGGATATATGAAAAATAATCTTCTGTTATTTTAAAGTTTGCTTTCAGTCATACTCACTACACACTGAACACCAACACCTAAAAATCATAGTTCCTTCATCATGATCAATCCCAACTGAAAATTTTATGTAATCCTGTTGTGCTTTCAAGAGATTATTTTGGAATAGATTCCAATATTTTAAAACTAAAAAATGAAGTCCAAACTCTCTGAACCTCAGACATCAATGAAACTTCTACTCATTAACACTCTATACAAAAACAGCCTGGACCATGTAATTCATGCAATTAAATGATAGCTTCTCAAGCAAAGGACCAGTTTCCATTCCAAGAGAGATTTATTTGACATCTGTCATAGACAAAGGAACACTAGGACAGGCATTTATCATAACATAATCATTACCACAGGTTGTACAGCAGAAGCACATGAGGTTACAGCACCAAGGGCCTCAGTTTAACCCCCATTAAAAAACAGGATTGTTAAAGTATACAGCATACACTTAAAAGGCACAAATTTTTAACCCCATGATGAACTGTTCCCTTATAAAAAATAAAACATTAAATTTATATAAAAGTTGTAATGTAATTGAGCAACGTATGGAACGAATTAAATAAATCTGGTTTCTACTCAGTCTAAACCCAATAAAAACCTTTTGCTTTCACTCTTAGCTGTGACTGTGTTGAGGAGGCTGCATATGCACGTTTGGAAATTAATACACAGCAACCATTCTGATTATGTAAAAAATCTCAAGAACTATTTATGGAAAAAATTAACATAAAATGCCTGTAATTCTTCTCTGCTTTTTCTTGACACATATTCCTCTCTGATAAATACTTAGTGAATTACATTAACGATACCAGAAGAAACATATGTAGGTCTTTCTGTAAAATGGTAATTTAAATTCACTCACTCATTGAACTGAGCCTTTCTTGAGAAGCTGTCAATTTTAATTTAAACTGTCTAATTAAAATGAAAGTTGAATGGGGTGAAAATCTTTTTATAAGTTCCCAAATATAAAATTTCATGAAAATGTATTCAGTGGATCTCAAGTTGTTTCATTCATACAGATGGATATATGGAGTGAATGAATTTAATAAACACTCAGTAGCATTGAAAATGTCCCTAAAGAGAGTACCATGAGTAATCTTAATGAATACAGGTGGTTCAAAAGTCCTGTATCGTAGAAGTTTCTCTTTTCTTTGTAGGTTAGATACGGAAATGAAGCAGTCACTTACTACTGAAGAGAAAGTGGAACTGAAGTTGATGTGTGGAAGGCATTAACTTTCCAAAAATGCCACTGCAGATGAATTTAAACACTCAGACAGACAAGAAGTATTCAGTCATCCCTTAAGTGGAAGACCCATACCAGTGACCTGTGAAGGGATAACAATGTAGCTGGGTCAACTTGGCAGCCCACAGACATTGACAAGAAAATTAGCAAAACAGATAGGAGTAAGCCAATGATCGATTCAGAAGATGCTAACTACATAATTTTTACCCCTGTATGGTACATTTGGTGCAAGAACTATAGTGACAATAACGGTCATCAAACAGAGTTCTACAAATGATTCCTGAGTCTGGAGAGCCTTGTACCATGGGTGATGTTCATTAATGAAGCAATTATTCTTCTGATCTGAGATGGTATGGACATCACACAACTTGATTTGTTTCTTTTGGGACACCTGACTGAATGTGACATCACTGCTGCAGTTTGCAAAGACTTAAATTCTCTTGCTGGCAGCAGTTCAGGAAGTGCATACAGGTTGCAGATCAATTTGAACATTTATAACGAATAATCAGGGTACATAATTTAACATCTGTGATACAAGACTTTTGAGCTATCCTGTGAAATGCATTACAAATTTAGTACATGTGCTTGAACAACTTCTGTGGAATGTTCTACACCATTAACTGCAGTCTAAAGTGACTGAATATTGAAAGTTTGGTTGAAACTGGACAAGTCATTCCTAAGTTACGAGTAATCACACACACACACACACACACACACAGGCACATATGTTTTATGATTTTCTGTATACTTAGACATGTTACCTTGAGCAGTCCCATGTAAAAGAAGAACTGTAATATTGTGAAGACAGGCACATATATATCCACCTCCATCTGGTAGCTTTTGCTCCTTTCTTCAACATACTGCCGACCAACTAAAGCAGCCAAGAAGAATGAGTATGTTGCTATAGTCACCACCTGAAAATTTTGCTCAGCACTATTACTGCAGAACTGTTTTGCACAGAATTTCCAATTTTATGCTGCAATATTTTCTACAAATATGAGAACTGTAGTACAATACCTGGGTATATACTAGAGGAAGACTAACCCAATCAAAACTCCAGAGCAACCCACACTTGGACCGGAACTCGTTAAATTCCTGGAGCAATGAGAAAGACATTGAAACAAGAAAAGAAATGAAGGAAAGAAAAACAAATGAATGAACTCCAAGAACAAAATGAGGGAGGAAAGAAAAGAAGAAAGAAATGAAACTGTATATGGTTCACTTACAGTGTATATGTTCTGCATGAACTCCTGATTTATAAAGAGTACTATTTTCTAGGATATAATGCCATGTCAACCCTTCTATTACTATAAAGCTGACTGAAGTAGTAAAATCGATAATAAGCATCAAATTGTGCAGCAGCCAACAGAAGATTAAATAAATATATTGTTCTGATTCATATAATTTTATAACTTGTCAAGACAGAAGCACAAGAGGACCATAATGCAGTGGCCCTGATAGAGATACAAATATTTCATATTGAGGAAAAAAAATTAACAGATAAAGGCAAATGATAGCACTGACTGAAAGTAAAATCAAATGTCTACCTTTCATCTCTTACCATTATATGCCAGTTTTATTTTACTAATAATTACATAAAGAGGCTGATGTTCATTAGGAAGTATATTTTATGCCCCATGGAAACGTGAGGTTTCACCCAGACATACAATGTAAGTCGTGTGGGCCTTTGAAGTTAAGGAAAGATATTACTTATGAGAGAAAGGCATAACTGGTAGGATAATATTACAACAGACATTATGGAACAAATGTGTGAAGGTGTGGACTGGATTATTGTGAACAAGGTAATTAAGCTGTGGGTTCTATTTAAGAATGAAATTGGTTACTAAACTATCAACGTTTGAAGGAAGGTACTGCACCACGAACTAGGAGAGTGAATGAATGACGAAAATACACAGCATTAAATAAAGGCAAAATACCTGCATAATAATCTGCAGTCCATGTGAATCTGTAATGCGACTTCCTTTCTTGGTTTCTTTTAAAAGGTTGATGAACCACGTGCATGGGATCCAATATGTGTTGAACTCGACACTGGGGACAGACTGATACATCTCAAGTTCTACTGATGTCATAAAACCTGTCAATATCATTAAAGAACTCACATTATTCCATCAGGCACACTGCATAAATTTACACCATAACAATGGTTTTTGCTTGGAAGATTTCATCACCAACATAAAATCTTTTATAAATTCAGTAACAGTTAAATCACAAGATTCTTGGTAAAATTCTATTCAGAATAGTTTACTGACTCCACGGACCAGAGCCCTTCTTAAGAAGCCAACAGTTACATCAGTGATCACGAAATTCTGCACGTTATATGAACCTGAAAGATCATTACCCTGTTCAAAACAAACAGCCATTAGTTCCTACCTTAGCATATATAATTTCAGTTCACATAATCACAACACATTGAATTACCAAAACATATAATTAGCAAAGAAGCTACCAGTGCATACTCTGACAGAGTAAGGGAGCAAGACATAATACAATGGCTACCTTTGGGGGGCAAGAAGACACTCAACAAGCCCCTCAATCAGACCCTTCAGCTAGAGGCAGCAGACATAACAGGCAAAACACCCTCAAGTGCTGGCAAATGGAGGCCAGGACATTCTGGAGGAGCCAGTCCCCTCCAACAAAACAAAGAGACTACCAACAGCTTACATGCTGATGCTGTGGGAGCACCTGCCACATTCGAAAGGACTGCTCGCATGAATACAACAAAGAAGAAGAATGATGATCAAGCCAGCAAGAAGCGATGAATAGAGCTCGAGAAACAACTCAAAGCTGGTGAGTATGGACGAACAATGCTCAGGAAAGGAACAGGAGTTCGTGCAAAGAGTTGACCAACCATGGAAAACGACTGCCAGCCAGTGGGACAGTGGAAATATCACAGTTTAAATTCCCTCCCCCATACTCCACATTCAACATCATAGCCAAAAGGGATGACAATGGCCTGATCACCCAGGGCTGGATTGGTGACAAACCATGCTCATGACTATGGCCACCGGAGCTTCCGTTGACTATTGCCAGGCCAGATGCTGCTGCAGGATGGTTCAAATGGACACTGAGACAACAATGCATGATGGATCATGGGACACCCTCCCCATCCTGATGGAAGCTTTAGTGGAAATAATCCTGGGACAGGGCGCCATATGCATCTGGGTGTTCACCACCAATATCATGGATGAATTCATCTCACAACTTGATATCATGCATGCCCACGATGCATCCATGGATTTCAGGCACCATATGCTACAACTAGGTGACGAGGAAGTGCCACTGAGGCACCCTGGGGCACGGCTGCATTCAACCCCGTGTATGAATGGCAACAGCAAAGTAGCAGTGGCTCGGTGTAGTAGAACAGTGGTGGCGTGGCTGGAAGGATCCATTGGGGTGGTTGATAGCCTCACAGGTACAGGTTCCAGAGCCACCAATCAAGCTGAAGAGAGAACACTGGTCCAGCCCTCAGGGAGGGTGCCTGGAGACCACTGGTTGCAGAAGCGCACTAAGGGAGGTGTACCCACAAAAGAACCATGGTGCTTGAGATGAGCAGCACTAAGAAGGGAGCAGTTTGGGAACAGCAGTGCAAGAACCAATCCATGAAGAATGGGGGCTGTATGCAGGGGCGTAGGGTACATGGATGTGGTGGAAGCATTGCTTCCCTATAGAAAAGCAACCAAGAACATTTCTGGCAATTTTTCAATTTCGAAAAAATATTTTATACTTCAAAATATTAATTAATCTGAGAACATATATTACATATAATGAGAATATTGCAAGTTTTAATGTGTTACATAAACAATTTATCAGGATAGATCAGTTATTTTCTTCCAAAATGCAGGGAACTTTAAACTGCAACACGCGCGGAAGCAGCAGGTCTTTCGCTTCCACCCTCCC